AGAATCACAGCATCAGAATAGACCAGCTGTTCAGTCCCGACAGTGATGGAAACAAACCAAAAACTGTGATTCTCAGTGGAGATTCTGGAAGAGGGAAATCCTTCACGCTACAGAAGATCATGTTGGACTGGGCTTCTGGAGAACTTTACTCTGAAAACTTTGATGTAGTTTTTCTGTTGAAGTGTGATGAGGTGAAGTGTTTTTCCCATCAGATGAGCTTGGATGAGCTGTTGAGCTGGAGTTACAGCATAACATCATATCAGATCTCACAGATACTAGAGTTAACACCAGAGAAAGTCCTCATCCTCATTGATGGAATTGATGAGTTCTCATTCGATCCACATATTCAAATATCATCACCCACTAAATCATCGCAGAAAGCTCTACCAATGAACATTCTTAGGAGTCTGCTGAATGGACAGATCCTGCCTGAGTCTTTCCTGCTGGTTACCACCAGATCAGATGCTGGTACAGTGATGAATCTCCTCAAGGGTCCTCAGCGTTTCACTGATATTATGGGCTTCTCTGAGAGAGGGGTGCAGGAGTTCTTCCAGAAGTTCTTTCAGGATGAGCAGCTCTTCAGGAAAACATATGAGAGTCTGACGACAAATGAAAGCCTCCTGACTGCCTGCTCTGTGCCTTTGCTGTGTTGGATGGTCTGTTTTTGTCTGAAGAAACACTATACAGATGATGATCATGTGATGAGAGAACTAAAGACAACCACCTCCATTTATGTGCAGTTTGTGTCCACTCTATTGGAGCATCATGACCAGAGTCAGTCTGTCCTCAGGAGTCTGGGTCAGCTGGCAGAGGAAGGGATACTGGATGAAGAAGTCCTCTTTGACCAGAAGACTGTGTTCAAGACAGGTTTAGATGCTGAAAGTAGCCTGTTCCTGCATGATCCTGATATTCAAGATTTAATAAGGAAAAGATCACTCAAGTTTATGCACCTCAGCTTTCAGGAGTTCTTCATGGCTCTTTATTATATGTTTCTGAATGAAGAAGAGTCCCAGAGGAACATCAGAGACATCTTTGCTGCTGAGAGAGTGAAAGGTAGACTAACAAATTCCATCGCTTCGGTGCTTCTGTTTCTCTGTGGTCTCTCTAATGAAGACACAAGCAGCTCACTCTTTGAAAAGCACAACTGGACTGTTTCTTACATCATAAGAAAGGAAATGGAGAGCACAATCCTTACACTTCAGGATGAAGATAATCTATTTGCTCTCCAGTGTCTGTATGAGCTCCACGATGAGGAGTTTGTGAGGAGAGCTTTAGGAGATCGGGTATCCATGAATCTGTCTAACGTTTCTCTGAGGAGCACAGACTGTTGGGTGCTGCTGTACTGTCTTCAGTGCTGGCCACACATCAGATACCTGAACCTCATGTACTGTGATTTAACAGCTGAGAAACTCAAGATTCTTCAGCCAGCACTCTGTATGTGTGAGACTCTGAGGTCAGTATGTTTGCATGGAGAGCAGTTTGTGTGATGTACAGTAAATACTTACCTGTGCATAAGTATGATCATAATTGTTTATATATTGCTGGATTGAGGGGTCATAAGATGAACAACCAAAATGTCCTTTATATTTTGAGATAAAATAGTTAACTGTACTATGAAAACAGCCTCATTAAAGAAAAAAGACCATATTATCGAAGGATCAGGCATTTAAAATTTATAATCTACTATATTTGGAAATGTGTGTTTTCATAGAATGTTGTTTACACAGAAAATTTAAAAGTCATGCCAGTAAAAAGGGCCCTTTTAACTCCATAAGTGTGTCTGAGAGAGGGTGAGAATTCCTCTACATAAGCAATAATATAAAATTTAGATCTGAATGATATTTTTTTATTATAGGTTGTCAGTGGACCATCTGCCTGAATTTGGAGATTTGAGCAAGACTCTCTGTGAATTCAAATCATTGAAGGAACTGAAGTACTGTATCTTTTTCATCTCTAAACAGTCATAGTTAATGCTATTTTAAAGTATTCTATAAATTGTGATTTTTATTTTTTTTTAACATTTTTATACCAATATTTAGTGTTTTTGTTCTGACTTGTAGAGTTCAGGAGGATGAATACAGGGGTGAAAGTCCCAGGTGGTCACTTGACCTGTCTGTTGCACAGGAAGATTACCTGTAATTAACTTCTTTCTTCATTTTACATTTCATTTTTACAATTAAACTGTACTTAAACTAATAAAAATAGCATAATATGTTTCAGAACACAACCAAAATCATTCATATTGAGTGTACAATGCTGTTATCAAATTTTTCTCTTTATTTCTGTCTGTTTCAGGTTGTCTTTGAGCTCCTCAGAGAAGAATCCATCATTTCCAGCAGTCTTAAACATCAGTCTTACGTGTCCACAATCAGAGATATCCAGCACTGACTGGACACTCTTCTTACAGAAACTCAGCAAGGCAGGACAGTTTGCTGAAGAGTAATGAAATTATTAATTTAATTTGGCTATTCAATTCAATTGGATATTTGTCTCATCAGTAGCTTTACTTTAATTCATACATGTAACAATTCATTTTTGCAGCTCTTCAGCTCTTGATGAGTTTGTCAGTTTGCTGCTGTCTTCATTTTACTTTGGCGGTCTGAAAAAGTTGGATCTGAAGGTGGTCAGCTTTAATGAGAGCTGGGCTTCTGGGATCATTTCTCTTGTCCAGACCTGCACCAGTCTACAGCAGCTCAGGTAAGAATAGGCTAATTTCTATTGATTTCTTTTGTATCATCAAGACATTACAAAAAAGAATCAGGATTTTTTTCCCCACACTGTTTTCAACTAAATGAACTCAAGGAAGAATATTTTTATTGGAAACAGCCTTCAAATGTTCTCATATACTCTGTTATTCTCTTTCTACCCTCACTATTTACAGATCAGTACTGATATTTGACTATGAGATTTATGTCTTTCATCTTTTATTCTGTTTTGCCAGTATTGAGGAATACAGCGACAATCCTAGAAGTCTCTTCTCAAAGTTCAGTGTATTAGTTTACAATGAAGACATCAGGTATTATACTTCAAGCACACATGGAATTTCATGTTTATTTTTATGCTGTATTTTAATGAGCCAATAAAATTCAGTATTTACAGTAAAAACATACCCAAGCATTGCACATGCAGTATACTCAGTGTTTGTAATACATTCCAAATTTCCTTTAAAAGAGTGTTGGCAATGTTGGCAAATATGTGTATTTGCATTATCATATATGTTTAACTGTTTTTGTTGTTGTTGTTTTTTTAGGTTGGATATAAGGCATAGACGGAACACTGAATCTCTCTCAAAAATCTCTCTTACTTTTCCACGCTCAGCCCTAAGCAGCTCTGACTGGAAAATCCATAAAATACAGTATTTACAGTAAAAACATACGCAAGCATTGCACATGCCGTATACTCAGTGTTTGTAATACATTCCAAATTTCCTTTAAAAGAGTGTTGGCAATGTTGGCAAATACGTGTATTTGCATTAACATATATGTTTAACAGTTGTTGTTGTTGTTGTTGTTTTAGGTTGGATATAAGGCATAGACGGAACACTGAATCTCTCTCAAAAATCTCTCTTACTTTTCCACGCTCAGCCCTAAGCAGCTCTGACTGGAAAATCCTCTTCCAGAGATTTCATGAAGTGTCTAGATACCAACAAAAGTAATGTAGAATTAACATTAAAGCCATGATAACACCTTTCAGCATGCAGTCAGAACTACACCAAAATCAGAATTTATACATTTACAATAGCCAGTTCCTTTACATATTGTTAGTGCATGATTAATTTGTATCATAAATGAACATGATGAATGCTGGTCACAAATGCAGCTGGTCATGATGAAGGGCATGAGGGGTGACCACACTGATGTAAATGACTAGACATTAGGGGTGTAGCGATCCATTGATATGGATTGATACATCGATACGATATAGGCATCTTTATTTTGGCACGGCCCACATTTTCGCACAGTGTCCGTCTATACATTACTGCCAACGCATGCATTCTCCTTCAAACTCACCTGTCAGGGCTCGATAAAGAGGCAAGCATAACGCTCGGGACAGTTGACGGAAGTGTCGAGTGCTGTGTGAAAAGTTTTCTGTGCGTACACATCCGAAGCGTGCACACACAGACAGCTAGGTCTCAGTCAGTGCGCGAATACTTAATTGAGTTCTCTTTTGCTTATTTTTGTGTTGGATGAACAAATACAGACACAATTTCAGCAAAATATGTGTCTTGGCAAATGTCCTGTAAACATACTTGATTATATCTTAACGTAAACAATTGAGAAAGAAAACGCATGTGTAACAGAATACTGGATCTGCATTTTATCTTAAAGGGTTAGTTAACCCAAAAATGAAAATTCTGTCATTAATTACTCACCCTCATGTCGTTCCAAACCCGTAAGACCTTCGTTCATCTTCGGAACACAAATTAAGATATTTTTGATGGAATCTGAAAGCTCTTACCCTCCATAGACAAAAATTATATTACCATGATCAATGCACAGAAACATAGCAAGGATATCGGTAAAATAGCCCATGTGACATCAACTGGGTTCAACTGTAATTTTACGAAGCTACGAGAATACTTTTTGAGCGCAAAGAAAACAATAACATAATTTATTCAGCAGTTCTTCTCCCCATGTTACTGTCTTCCGCCATATTGTTAAACCCCTGATGTCACATGGACTATTTTACTGATGTCCTTGCTTCTGTGCGTTGATCGTGGTAATACACTTGTGTTTGACATGATTTTTATATAGTTATATTTATGTGCTTCTTGCAGTTCTCCAGAGTGTAATGAGCAAGCGGATGCTCTGTTTACTTTCCTGCACTCTGTGTGTGATCTGAAGAGTGTGGAGCTGATCATCTTCAGTCTGAATCAGAGCTGGGCTCTCAGGATTCTCGCTCTCATCCAGGCCTGCAGCAGTCTGCTAGAAGTCTGGTAAGACTGAGACGTGGTACAAAGCCAGTCAATGTTGAATTACTCCGTTATGAGTAATTGGCTTGCCAAATATGTTTCATAATTTCTACAGAATGTGTTGTGTCCTGTCACGTCTGCCAGTTATATTGTCTTTGATAGCCACCAGAGGGCACTCCTGTCTTTATCTCATCATGGACTGCATTTCCAATAATCCATTGCTTATGATTTACTATGCCTAAATACTTTAAGCTGTTTCTCATGAACCTTGTTAACTTTGCCTGTATAAGGCGTGTGTTTTCCTTCTGTGTTTTCACACATTCTCTGTGATGTCTTGCATGTTGTTGCACTGCATTTCTGAGTGTTCTCTCTGGCTACCAGTTTTATGGTTTTGATCTTCTGAATTTCCTGAAGACGTGCAGTTTTGAAACAGTTCAGGTTTTTTTTTTTTTTGCATAGATATTCTAGAGAATCTTTGGTGTTTCAAAATTTACCAATAGTTGAGTACAATTTTGCCTGTTTATATTTTGTTTAGTTCTTGGTCTTGTGTTTGCTAAATGCATTTGTCATACATTATTTACCTCATATTTACATTTTATAATATAAATTTAAATGCTTTTATTTTTCTGCAGTAAATTTGATTCCAGTGTGCGATTTTGGGTGGGGTGACGCCAATCTATAATCCAGCTCTGATTATCGTGACAACTATTTGCTTTTTTGTCTTTGATTACATTGCAAAAATGTTGTATTGTAGTGTCCGTGCCACTGGTTTGCTGCTGGAGGTGGGACTCGAGTTACTGTATGAATCACTGACAGATTCGCACTGCTCTGTGATCATTGAAGGGTATGTATGTGCTCAATATCTGTGGATTTAACTTTTTATGCATTTACTGTTACAAAAATGTGTTCTTAGCTTTATCATCATTTGTTTTCAGATGCCATATCTTTAAAAAAAAAAAATCTTATGCAATGGAATTCAGATATTTTCCTTAACTGTCAGGATCTAATTCAATTCTGACAGCTTGTCGGCAAGGTCTAACAGTGTCTAAAAATGTCCAAATGCTTTTTGTTGCCACTGTATATATTTCATTCTGTCTGTAGGCCAACCATCTCTGACTCTGAACAATCTGGACTGAATCTTCAGCCACTCCCAGTGTGTCAGTCTTGTGTTCACATTGTTGACTCTGATCAGTGGGTTCAGGTGGAGCCGTCAGTCTGTACAGATGAAGGAGGCTCAGAGTTCAGGATCAGCACTCCGGCGGGTCGATTCGAGTGCAGCAGGACCAGAATGCGATGGGTCTGTGCTGGTGACGTCACTCTCCAGTACAGTGCAGGGGATGGACGTTCCCTCAGAGCAGAGCTGGAGAGACTTCAGTGTGAGCGGATTGGTCCTGTGATTGATGTGACAGTGATCTCAGGGAAACTGGAGGAGGCCCATCTACCTCATTACGCTTGTTTAGCAGAGTTGGACCGCTCTTTCACAGAAAGTGTAAAGGTCCTCAATGTTGAAGATGATGGATTAACCTTTGAATCAGTGGAGTTGACACGTTTTCATGCCAAAATACTCCAGCCATATTTTTCTCCTAAAACAGTTCTTATGAAACTAGGGATACCAGTGAAAGTGCACTGTGATCTACTTATCTTCATGACACACAAGAACCCCATCATTCTCCATGTTTATTTTTTCCCATCAGATTCAGTTTTTAAAGAAAAAATTAAGGTTGAGGAAAAATCTAGTCAACCAATCAGTTGTCCAAGACCTGAAACCCCACTGCGGATGATGAAACAACACAGTCTTGAGGTTCCTGGTGCTTCTGTCCAACCCGAAGAGATCAAATTAAGAGGAGACATCGATCCAAACTTCTTTAAGGTCAAACATCCTGTGGTCGATGACATCAAAATGTCTCTCAGCCGAGTGGATGATCCGAAATCAGTTTGGACTGCAACAATTTGGAAAGAAGAACTAGACAAAACAATTACAAGCAAAGGTGCGTCTAGTTTGTACCAACATGGAGAAATGCAAACAAAACCACAAGTGTCTGTCAACTTTGATAAAGTTAAGTTTTTTGATAAAAATTGGTGTGCTCTTATTAAAAGTGTTAAGAATGTGAACGCCATTGCAGACAAACTGCTTCAGGAGGAGGTCATTAGTGAAGAAATGTATTCTAAAATCACACATCTGACTTCAACTAAGGAAGAAAGCATGAGAGAGATCTGCTGCAAAGTACGTAAAAGCAGTGTCCATGTGAAAAATCTCTTCATGTCTGTTATTCAGGAAGAGGAGCCCAGTCTTTTAAATTAGGGTTGTCCAAGCCTGTTCCTGGAGGACCACTATCCTGCAGAGGATAGCTCAAACCCTAATTAAACTCACCTGAACCAGTTAATCAAGGGCTGTATCTGAACTCGCTCCCTATACCCTCAAATAGGGCATTTGAGGGGACATCCATTTTTAGTGGTGTCCGAAACCATAGTGGACGTTCTCGAGTGCACTCATTCAATCACACAATGCACCACAAGAACAAGTGTACAACCAGTGCACGCTCCATGGCTAGAAAATACCCAGAATTCCTGCATCCCGCCAGAAGATAGCGCCCACAGCTGAATAATCCATCCATTCATTTTACAAAACAATAGTCCACGGTGTAATACAGCACAGGTACAAATTGTAAATTGATTACTAAATTGTTTAACCAGAGTCTATCATAAGTTCAAGATAAATCCTTTAATCTTATTACTGGAGCTGCCAGTTTCAAATGATTATTAAACCGCAAGCAGAAACTATGAAAAAGCGACAGTCCTCCGAATTCACTCACTCGTTTTCATTCATTCCGTTAAGTGAACTGTATTAGTGACCTAATGTAGGGAATAGTGAATGAGGGTATAGGGGGTGATTTCGGATACAGTCAAGGTCTTCAGATTTGCTAGATTCTTCCTGGCAAGTGTGTTGGAGCTGGTTGGAGCTTAAATCTGCAGGACATTGACCCTCCAGTAATAGCATTGTACACCCATGTTTTAAATGATTTGCATTTATTGGACTCTCAGCTTTAAAAGGTTAATGTGACCCACAAGTGCAAAGATCAATGCGTTTATATATTTTGATGCATTTCATTGTAAAATGTTTATAGGGAGAGTGGGGTACAATGTATGTGTAACTCCCTTGATCTACAAAACTTTATTTTCTCCCTTTTTTGTCAAGTGATTATATATTTAGAAAGGGATCATCATATGCTGTGACTGAAAGGAGCACATGAGAAAAGTGGTAAGCACGTTTTATGCAACAAAAAAAAAAGGTAAAAAGAGTTTTTTGTCAAATTATAAAGAATAAACATGCTGGTAAATTACCATTGTACAAAACAATAATCTCTTTTAGTTATTTCTTAAATTTTTCACACACTCCCTATCTGTCTGTCTGTCTTTCATGAATATGTTTCTTACAAAAGCATTAATACTCAGCTATTAACATAGCTACTTTTGAATGGATGTCAATAGAGAAAGATTCAGAAGCAGAATGGTGTAGTTATGGCATCTACCAGTACACAGTCTTCGGCCCCTGCACACACCCATTTTGCGCACGCTTTTCAAATACAAAACCAGGAAACTATTGTAGAAGATTTTTATTAATCCAAATAGGAATTAATCAAGTATAATCATTAGGAATATAGCCATTTAAATATCCAGTTATACTTCCATTAGAATCACATATGCCTGTGTGGAAAATGCCTACGTGGCTAAAGTAGACAGGCCCTAAGATTAGAAACATCTGGGAAACATAAGTGGGGGCCTTCTTTCTTTACCATAACAAGAACCCCTTGTCTAGGGAAATGTCGAACTGTATGCACAAAGGAACCATTCTATGTATGGAAAACGCCTTAAAGTCAGAACTGAATAAAAAGAAGACAAGTGAAGTGACATGTGGCCAAGTATGGTGACCCATACTAGGAATTAGTGCTCTGCATTTAACCCATCCAAAGTGCGCACACACAGCAGTGAACACTCACACCGTGAACACACACCTGGAGCAGTGGGCCATTTATGCTGCGGCGCCCTGGGAGCAGTTGGGGGTTCGGTGCCTTGCTCAAGGGCACCTCAGTTGTGGTATTGAAGGTGGAAGAGAGTGCTGTACATTCACTCCCCCCACCTACAATTCCTGCCGGTATGAGACTCGAACCCACAACCTTTGGGTTACGAGTCCGACTCTAACCATTAGGCCACGACTTCCCCAAGATGATCATTCTAGCGATGTTTCGCTGCAGAGAGCATCTCCGCTTTATTTTCATTGATGATGTAATAAATAATAAAAGTGTATCTCCTGGCATCAAAACCCAAGACTGAGTGTGGTTTCTAAGATGAGCAGCAGACGACACCACAAATTGCCACCCCAGATGGGACGGAAAAGAGCAGAAGAGTGGACGACCACTTTGGGCTGGATTTTTGCAAGCAACACACAACAATGGTGGCCACCGAACGGTAAGCATCTTTGCTTATATAATTGGTGTGTGTTGTTTGCCGGTCTGCCCTCGGTGGTAAGGACACTTAAAATCTGCTCTTCCAGAATTAGAAAATAAATAAAATAAAAAGGGGTTTTGAGGCCAGAAGAAATAACTGCATGCACAGATTTGGTTTAATATTAGGAAGGCCTTGATAGGTAACCTAAATTGAAGCTGGATGGTGTAGGCAGAAAGAAATGCATTACTTGTAATGGTCTGTGTTTGTTGTAGACTGACCTAAAAGGACAGCAGCAATGAAGCAGATGTAGTATAGGAAAGCACGAAAAGACCTTTGGATACCGCTCTGTAGGAGAGGAATAGTACAGAGGGCTGAACGGAAAGGCAAATATCCCTGCTGGGCGCTGATTTTTTACTGAGTTGAGGGAGATTAATCAGTAAAAGAGTGAGAGCCCTGCAGGTCACCCGAGGAAGAGTGTAGTGTTTTGTTGTATGAGACTGAAACTGTGTCTGTGTCCGGGGTTTTGATGTCAGAAGAAATAACTGCATGCACATATTTGGTTTAATATTAGGAAGGCCTTGATAGGTAACCTAAATTGAAGCTGGATGGTGTAGGCAGAAAGAAATGCATTACTTGTAATGGTCTGTGTTTGTTGTAGACTGACCTAAAAGGACAGCAGCAATGAAGCAGATGTAGTATAGGAAAGCACGAAAAGACCTTTGGATACCGCTCTGTAGGAGAGGAATAGTACAGAGGGCTGAACGGAAAGGCAAATATCCCTGCTGGGCGCTGATTTTTTACTGAGTTGAGGGAGATTAATCAGTAAAAGAGTGAGAGCCCTGCAGGTCACCCGAGGAAGAGTGTAGTGTTTTGTTGTATGAGACTGAAACTGTGTCTGTGTCCGTATGAATGTCTGTGTGAGTGATGGTGAATGTATGAGGAAATAAATAAATTCCGTATTAGATGGGTACGAGCTGTGCACCCTCTTGGTCCATCACTTAAATGTGGCTTGGCGTTGATGGACGCAGCTTGTGATGCACCCGAGAAGGATGAATAAATGATTAGCCCTGAAATAAAGGGAAACAATATGAATGCAGTATTCCTATAAATAAAGGAAAACGAATGAAAGCATGAGCCCTGTCTGAATAAAGGGACGAGCAGTGTGAATGTGTTTAGGAAAACAATACCAATAAAAATTGAATCAAGATCTTGTATAGACTTTTGCATGTTTGGTGTCTGTGTGGAAGAGAACGAGAAAATTTTCAGAGATCAGTGCAGTAGAAGTGAGATCAAGGAAGCAAATTAAATAAGTATATATATTAAAATAATATATGTGCAAAATAAATAATAAAGAGCAATAAATAAAAAATTAATATTAGAAGTGTTTACATACTGAGTGATTGTAGTGAAATTAGGAGAAATTGCTTAAAAGAGTTAAATTAAAATTGATTTATAATAATATAGGAGAAAATATGGCAGTCACTCCAGTGGAAATATTAGGATTAAAATATCCACTGTGTAAAGGAGTTAATAAACAAGATCTCAAACAAAAATGTCAGGAAGAAAGAAAGGGACAACAAATTGAGATGGTCTCCCAGTACATCATAATAAGTAAACAGGGAGCAGCTTTAAATATACCAGAAGGTGAATTTGTTAAAAAATGGATAAGTGAAACTAATTTGGTACCACATATTGCAGTATATTATAGGAAAAATTGGGAAGTAAAAGATTTAGGACCAATGATGAAAAAGGCAGAACAAAGCAAGTGGGAACCAAAAGAACATCCATTGATTTTTCATTCAGCTGACAAAAATTATATCAAAATGTTGTGTGCAACCAGTTTGCTGGGAATTCCTCAAGAAGTAGTTATCGATCAAAAGAAAATGACACAGATGACTACAACATCCAAAATAATAAACCAAAATTAGACTGAGTTATATAAGGAAAGGCAGCGACAGGTACCAACTGAACTATGGTCTCAACATGACACAGATACAGGATTAATAAAATCAACAAATCCAGTTAGAGTATCAGTAAGAAATGAGAGAAAAAAAAGAGAAGCAAAAAGGGAAAAAGAAGTGATAACCATGTTTAAAAAGGAAGGGGAGGACATATTAAAAAGTATAAAACAAGCCAGGAAGAAACTGAGAGAGGCTGAGAAAGAGACAAAAAGAAAGGGAGAAAAGTTGTTTTCTGAGCCACCCCCTATTTGCCCATAGACGGAGAGTATCCAATTCTCAAGGGAACAGTAGAAATTCATCTGGAGAAATGCAAATAGAAGGACCAGTAAAGCTGAGAGTTGGAAGAAAAAAAGGAACCAGCTGTGAAAACAAAGAGACAAGAGAGAAAAGAAAGTGAAGGATATTTACGGATGGAATGCTATAGACAGGCAGTTTTAATAGTGTTAGAGCAGAAGAAAACAGACCAAAATAAAACAAAATTTGAGGAAGTGTTAGAAGAAATAGAAGAGAAAATTAAAGAATCAGAAAAAGATACAAGAAGTAAATAGATTGAAAAGAGGCAGAAGTAAGTTGTTTGAAAGTACAGAGGAGGTGAATGAAGGAGAGGAGTTATTTGATAGCGGAAAATGGGAACAAGGCAGAGAAAAGGGGCATTCAGATCACTGGCTGCACAACTCCCAATTTTAATCAAGGGTGCGAAGGGACAATAAGTCCCCTGGGCCCCACAGTACCTCGAGGGGTTGGTTGCTCGTCTCCCAGAAATTCAGGAGGGGCTGTGAGGGAAATTAAAGCTTTGCTGGCTAAAATAATAGGAGGGACAAAGATGAATGAAATTCTTCAAACAACTACTCTGGACAGAGCAATGAACTCTCATAATATGGATGGAATTGTTTTTGATGCATTCCATCCAGCAGTGTGGCAGTCACTGCGTGCAGAGAAAAAGGACAAAGAAAATCTAACCACATATGTACAGAGACAGCTGAAAAGGTGGAAGCAAGAGACTGAAGGGAATCCAGAAGGAGACCCATTATTGGCAACATTGTTTAAACATGCTGTGTTTGATGCTATGCCGCCAGCCTTAAGGAGCAGGCTGGAGGATGCAGTCAGTTTAAACTCTAAAACACACAAAGAGTTTTGTGACCATGTGTCTCATGCCGTAGGAACAAAACAGAAAAAATGAGCAAAAGCTCAAAAGCCAAGAGAAAGAGCTACAGCGAAAACTAACTCAATGGAGACAAAAACCAATACAGTGAGGCCAGAGAGGAAGAGGCAAACCTTATACTGGTCCTCCAAGTGTGTGCTGGGCAAGTGGGCAGCCCGGACATAATAAAAATGACTGTCCCACCTATCCATGGCAACAGTACCCTTAGGGTGGAAGGGGGGAGAGATGGCAACAGCCTAACCGAGGTACTTCACAGGGCCTAGTTAACCCTTGGGGAGGTCCTAATCCAGGCTATTAGGGGTGCCCAGAGAATATTAGAGGGGAGAGTCAGCATCCAATTTTAACAAACAAAAGTTGATCAAGAGCCTATTATGCAAATTAGCATAGAGGGAAAAGCCACACCCATGATGTTAGACACAGGTGTTGTCTAAACCTGTTTAAATTTAAAATATGCCTAACATCTCCCAATGTCTGGAAAATTCGCAAAGACAATAGGATTCTCGGGAAAAATGCAATTAATTCCAATGACAGATCCAGTGTGTTTACAAACAGAAAATCAAATTATAACAATGCCCATTCTGGTATCAAATCAGACTCCTATCAATTTGTTAGGAAGAGATGCATTATGTAAATTAGGGCTACAAATGTGGTGTTCTCCAGAAGAAATATATATGGACGCAATAGGAACAGAAACACTAATAG